TTCACGGGTCACTGTGTGTGCATTGTGGCTCAGCACTCTCGTTTCCCTGAAGGGAACCCGGCTGGATTTCTTTGCTGCTAAAGGGATTCTGCTCTGCTAAAGGAAAAGGGGTTTTGGGTTGGGTTTCCCACCCCTACACTCAGTGTCCACGGCTGGGATGAAGCAGTCTCCCATGAGCTATCTTAAACACAGAGAAGACCGGACACCACAGCTTTACGGCACATAACTCAGGTTTGAGGAGCAGCAGTGTCTCCTGTTCTGGGATTGTCTTAGTTTTAAAGCTCAAGAGTCTCATTTGTACTTTTATCTTCACACATCCTCTGTGTGTTCAGCTTACTCCATAGAGCTAAGTCATGGAGGAGCTTCAGGCAGAGCAAGCCAGGTCAAGCTAAACAGATGTGAAGTCCTTCATTTAGGACTGACCTGGATGGACTCTTCCATCAACATGTATACACAAGCCTTGGCTCCTTGTGGTCCTCCCTGCCCCCAGCAGCTGTGTTTGTACAGCACCTAAGGGTAGGGCATCCGGAGCTGGGAGGAGGGCTGCTCAGTGCTCCTCAGGACAAACACACACCATTACTGGTGCCAGCTCTGCCCCAAGGACTCCTTTACTCCAGGAGATCCCCACAGAGCACTCTAATCAAGGGTTGTATGGTGCCAGTTGGCCTGGCAGATGTGGTCAGTTCCCAATTGATTGGTATCTGTGGTGCAAGACAGCACACAAAGTGGGCATTAGGGGATTAACCTGCCATTCCTTTCGCTGTCCTCTTCTCTGTATACAACACGATTATACAAGGAGCATCACAGAAAGCCTCAATCCACAGGTAGGGGAAAGCAAATTCCTCCTTATGTGGGGCTGGCTGCATTCAGTGCCTCTGATAAAAGCAACAAGAGGTGCCTCTCATGCACGCTTATATCACAATCTTCACAATATCACATCTTCAGCACACTACCATTTTTCCCCATATCAGTTTTTCCTGATCCCATAAAAATTATTCTGCATTGCTCATCTTACCTCAGGATGCTGTCCCCTCATGAAAAACTCCTTCTCAAATATCTTTTTTTCAACTTTTCCAAGGAAAATTTGCTTTTTTGTCTGCTTCCAACGTTGAATCTCATACAAACTATCTAGCCTACTCAAGTAGGATAAAACAATGCCAGGATGAGAAATAGCTTCATGAAAGCACCAATTCTTTGGAAAATATCAGGACAGAATTGCAAATGCTATTGTTCTTTTCAGGGCTGTGGTAGAGACTGTTACCGCAGCTTTACAGAGAATGACATGGGAAACCCAAACCAGGGGAGATGAACATCGTCATTCATTTCCAGATAATAATCTGATGCCCATTCCAGGCATTAAGACATCTGAAGCTACTTAGTATTTCAGTAAAAAGTGTGGTTTGCTGTAGCAAGAAGCCTTTAAGTAAAGGGATCGTGGAAATTTTTGGTAGAGGGCATGCAGTTAATGGCCTCAGAAAAAGTCTGTGAGGAATTTATTTAATTTTCAGCAGCTGTTTCCAGTAGTCTTAAAAGCTCAGACAGGGTTGAGCAGAACAGTTCACAACAGCTACTGTGCCCTTCAGTGGTGGGCCAGCCCTTCTGGCATGCCAGGCTGCAACGGAGAGCCTTCCCCAGCAAGCTCCTCTATTAAGGGAGCTAGACAGGCATGTTTGTGGTCTTTCTTCCCAGACAGCTTTTTTCCAGGACTGAGGCTCTAATGAATCTCAAGATCAGGCACAACAATAAGCAACACAGGAGACTGGGCCACCGACGTGATAATTGCAGTTATTCCCAGGTTTCTGGGAAACCCAGCATAGATCAGAGCTGATCCAGAGCATGACAGAGACTCAGCAGAGAATTTATTTTATCCCTTTCAGCTCTTCAGAAAGGCCGCCTGGAAATCTGATGGGATGTCAGTCCAGACCCACCCTTCTTTGCAGGGCTGAGGCATTTTGTTCGTGGCAGCTTTGTTTGGCTGGGGGGAGAGGGGAAGCAGCTGCTGGGTCTTTGCTTAAACAGAAAGAGCTTTCAGTGACGCTGGCTTAGAGACTGATGTTTCTGTCCTTAATGTTGGGAAATCTGGAGACAGATTTTTTTTTTTTTTCCCCCCAAAAAAAGTTCCTTGCAGGCTGGGGTTCAAAACTGGTCCCCACAAGAAGGGGACAGAAGGGCAGCCCTCACCTTCTCAGTTGCATGGCCTCCAGCGTAGGTGCAGAGCACAGCAATAACTTGGTTAGCCTCAGAGAGGAAGAACTGCAGCTGTATAATCACCTCGTGCCAAGCCACAAACGCCTCCGGGGAGATTCCTGTGGAGAGCACCTGGCTGAACTGCAGTATGGTCTGTCATTCCCACAGATGCAAATTCTAGGCCTTATATTCCTTATCACTGAAGGAATCCTACCTGACCCTCTTACCTCCTTCAGGCAGGGCCCTTGCCTTGTAAAGTCTGGACCTATGTGCATCTCCTGCTCCGGGGTTTCTAAGCTTGCTCTGTTTCTGTGATTCTGCAGCACAGTGCAAGTTCAAGCAGGCCCAGCATCTCCTATAACCAGGAGAGTGCAGAAGAAATGTTGCAAAGCCCCTTTGATTTCTCCTTGTATAAAGAGGAGATGGGATGGGGGGATTCAGTCACCCAGAAGATAATTCCTGTGATTTGCTAAGGGGCTTGGGAAACTAAAGCTAGGAGCTAATCTAATCTGGAGTCTATCTGGAAATTTGGAAAATGCAGGTATCTCTAATTAAAAACAAGAACCATTTGTGTGTCATGGTCAATGCAGATTTATTTCTGACAACATAATAAATTCAGCACAGCTTGGACCCAGCTGCCCCAGCATTAAGTACCTGAATTTCCCCCTTCACATCACCAGACCTAGGACTCTGATGCAGTCATGCTGTAAGTCTCGTTGGCAAAGGGGACAGCTCAGCGTTGTCCTTGCTTACACAAGGAAATAAGCACTCCTAGGCAAGGACTGGCAATGGAGCTTGGTCATGGAAAACCTGAGAGCCCAATCAATCTACTTAAAAAGTGATTGATTCCTCTAGTGCAGAGAGGAAGCAGGAACAGGGCTTATGGATATAGCAGGACACATTTTATTTTTTTTGGCTGGAATCCTTCAATATATCTCGTTTGGGCTTCTGTTGTTCCCGAAAGTCACAGCACAGAGAGAGGGGCTCATCCTATTCTGACTGTAAGAAAGAGGTGCACAAAGGCAGCAACACTGATCCTCTCCAGTCCTCAGCTCTGCCACCACATGCCAGGTCTCCCTGCATCTGGCAAACCACCCAAGAGCAACCCTGAAAAGGCACCTGCAGCTTTCCACCACTCCAAATACACAGAGTCTGCCTCATATCCGGGAGTGGAATGGTAGAACAGGCTATTTCACTTCCCTTCTGCCCTGTCTCACCTGTGTAGATTGTAAGACCTCTGGAGCAGGACTGTCTTGCAGTTTCCAACTGCATAGATTTATTGCCACCCCGGGAAAAGCAGTGTAAATATTGCAGCTTTTGGTCCACGTGCCTTCCCTCTAGGCAGTCCATATGCCTCATGCAACTACTCAGTGAAGTGCTAAGACACCAGCTTTTACTGTTACCCCAGCTGTGGGACAGTGAATCTACCTTGCACTCAGCTCTCAGCACAAGCACCAGGTAAATCCTTGGCATTCTTTTTCCTGACTGTTACAAAGAGCACTTCCTCCAGAAGCTGTGAGATGCTTATCACAGAGAAGCATAGAAAGGATCAGGGAAAGATTTTGGCTGAAAATACCTCACAATAAGAAACCTTCAGTTTCTTTCCCTTGTAAAGGTGGAAGCTACATAGTCAGCATTTCCATTTATAAGCTGATAATGTACAGTCAGGCAAAAATTCTTATAGGAAATAGGTTGAGATGATCATTTGGAAGAAGAAGAAAAGGTACTTTTGAAAACATATCTGTTTCTTTTAAATATAATTTTTCCCTTGAGCAGCTCAGATGTTGCCCCCAGCATGTGGTCCCTGTGAGGCAAATTAGCTCCATCCAGAACATCCAAGTGCAACAAAGAGTTTTGTGGTCTTTTTTTTCAAAATTGTGATTGCTAGAGAGTAAAGCATCAGGTAGCATGGTGCTTTTTTTTCAGTAAAGTAGGTTACTTTCAACATGCTCTGGCTATCACCAAGGAAAGGCACTATGCATATTTCAACCAAGCTAAGTTACAACTTTAAAACATTTGCATGAAACCAGCTGCATCTGCTCTGCCCAGAGAATGTTGTTGGCAGACACCATAGAGTAAGTTCTCAGGCAGGAATTACACTACAAGATGAAGAACACTTTGACTTTATTACACCATGAGACAGTCAACCAAAATAGTGTTCGGAGCACGTTTAGTGACAAGCAAACCCTGCTGAGTTTTCTTTCATGTCCACCAGTTGTGCTTTGCAGACTGGTTCTTTACAACAGGACTATCAGTCATTGCCACAAAACAGCAATTTTTTTTGGCTAATAGTAGCACGGATAAAAACTCCCTAAGCCCTTACTTTGATGTGACTTCTCACATACACAAGTTCCTCCATTTTCTTTTACTCATACTGAAACACTGTTCAACATATTCAGCTGGATAAATCCCATCCAGTCACTGCCCTGTCTTAAGACTCATTGCTGCATTGAACACTGTATTTCAGTGTATTAACAGCTGTATTTCAGTAAAGACAAAATTAGTTCCTGCATCAGCTATTTTGCTGGTCCCTGGGAGCTTTTAGGCCATAAGACACAAAACAGGAAAATATCACAAGGGAAAAAAAAAGCCCAGCTGAAACACAGAATCTCTTACCTGCTGGGAACTGTAGAGGCACAGCCAACAGCACCCTGCTGCAATGACCACAGTAGGGCCAAATGAGCTCAGGTTTGCCAAATTTAAAGGCTCAGCCCCAGCAAGGCTTGCTTTCTGGGTGGCCTTTGGAAGCCCCTTTACTGTGTGGGATGATGAGGAGCCAGGTTCTTCAGCTAATCATGCTCTGTTTCTGTCAGGACAGTAGTGAGGCATCAGATGGAGCTGGCCCCTGGGATGAAGAAGTCACAAAGTGGTGGGGAGAGTGGAGCTCCTGGTCCACCTGCTCCCGGTCCTGTGGGGGAGGCGTGATGTCCCAGGAGAGGCATTGCTTGCGACAGAGGTGAGTCGTGTCCCAGCCTGAGCACTTGGCCAGGTCTCAAGTGGCAGAGGGGAAATGGGCTGCACCTGACCTGCGTTTTGGGGCTGAACTTCCTGGGTTTGCAGGGTCAGCTGTTCCCTCTCCTGTGGCTTCTTGGAAAGGAAGGCAGCTGGGGTAGGTGGTGAGCAGGCTGTGGTGGGGAGGGCTGACAAGGGAGAAGCATGCTGCAGTGAGGCAGGTGGCAGGCTCCTGAACATGTCACCCACTCAGCCTGGCTCATGTGATGGCAAGCAAGGGGTTGGTCTGCTCTTGGGGCCTGTGGGCTGAAGAAGGCTATAGCTCTGTTCCTCTTCCCCTTTCCTCTGCAAACCCTTGCTTACCGTGGCTGTGCTGACCAACCTTACCCTGATCTGTAGCTGGTTCCCATGCTAAGGATGTGGGTACATATTCCCAGACAGCTTATGGGAACTTGATTTACTCCTGGCAGCAGCCAGCTCAGCCACATCTCAGCAATTTCCTCTCTTTATTCCCTGCAGAGCTTGCAAGTTTTTTTCTTCTCTGTCATTTATCTGGCTGTCACCTGACAACACCTCCATTTGTCCCCTACAGCTGCTGTAGGGGACAGTTGGACTGGGCTTGTGGGAGTGGGGAGAGCTGGGGAACTTCAGCTGCCTGAACTACTGCTGTCCCCTCTGGGTCACCTTGCCACCAAGCCCTCCTCCTCCTCCGTCAGCCCCTCACTAACCTGCTACTCCAGGCTCCTGAGACGTTAACGAGAGCTGGCATCCTGCAGTACAGCAAGCCCACAGGGGCTGCTCACCCCACGCTTGGCCCTTTCCTCTTCTGCATGAATGCACTCCTGAGTGGAGGAGGCTCAAGCTTGGGCCCCCAGCCTGCTCTCCTTCCTACAGCAGCAAACTTTTGTGGGCTAGTTGGCAGCACGGTGAAGGTCCAGGTGTGCTGCAGTACCTTCTGTCTGGATATGTGGTCCACTGGTTGCCAGTGTCTCTGCTGCTGCTCGTCCTCCCCAGCACACTGGCCATCACTGGGGAGCAGTGGGGAACAGGGTGGGTGGGAGCCTGGGTCTGTCCCACACCCCACACTGTCAGAGCAGTCCTTCTGCCAGAAAACAGATTCTTCTCTCCTTTTGGCGTCTGCGCCATCCTTGACTCCACAGCTGGGAGGGGCGGTGCTGCTTTGGTGTGCCATTTTACTCCAGGGATCAAGCCTGAATTAAAACAAACAAACAAACAACTAAAAAAAAGCCCTATATAAAACACAGCCAAAAGATTTCTGCATTTTTAATGAGAACAGTTTAAGCATGAGCCAGGTATGCCCACGAAACAATTTCTGCCTGTGTCTGCAGGCAGCCTCTGCCTCAGCCAAGAGGGACGGCAGTTTTCAAGCCTTTTGGTGCAAATTTAGGGTTTTCCTACATCATATAAAACATTGCAGTGCCTCTAGCCAGGCCAACATGAATATATCTACAGGGTTCTTCATGGCACATCCTAAAAGCATCCTAAGTCCCCAGTAGTGTTCACATATACAGACCACATTGCCTTAATGTGTGGTCTTGGCTGTTCTTCCTACATCTCCCCAGCTTTCAAGAATTTTTTTCAGCTTTGTATCAATTGAGGACTCCAGTATCCCCTGGATAACTCCTGATGGCCAGAGCTAAAGCATCAAATGTTGAGAAATTCCCATGGTTTGTACCACACAATTCCTGCTGATCTTTTAAGGAGGTCAATCTCCATCTCTCTGCCTACAGCAAGCAAATTCTGAAATCTGTTCTGGTCACTGCCCAGTTCTGGTCACTGCAAATCCTGGGCACTTCCACTGCAGTGATAGATCATCAGGGTCTATTGTCCTTTTGTCATATTAACCCTTTTGGAGCTCAGAGATGGAGGGACACAGGGATGATGATACTGTAGTTGCTCCCCTCTGCTCAACCTGCCCCCAAACAAGAGTAGCCTAAAAACACAGTTGACCTAAAAGCACCAAAAGTGTGTTTCAGAGATGTTGTCTAGTCTAGATCCAGAAAACCTTGCTCTGATAAAATGCCTGCCTTACTTCTCCCTGTTAAGTGAGGCCTGACTTCTCTGTCATCCTCAATCCCTTAGTACTTCAAAGACCTGCAGCTCGTTTCCTGTCTGCTTTGCAGGCTCCAGATGCCCCAGGGAACAAACAGCACTATGTGTGTTGGTCAAGCCAAGCACTACCAACTGTGCCAGCAGCAGGTGAGAACCACTTCCCGTACTGAATGGTCCCACTTGGGGGGTGAGGGTTCTGGGTCACGTTTGGAGCTGCAAGAGCACCACCACTTAGGGTGTGACTGGTCTGTCAGAGTGCAGACAAGGTCTACGATCCAGTCATGGAATGGTTGACATTCTGGGAACATGAGAAATGGGCACTACTCCGTGGGACTGAGAGATGGGGGAAAAGAATATAAAAACATACTTCTTGGTTTTATATGTATGCTTTCTCCTTTGCTGGAATAATTTTTGCAGGACTGTTAAATACTGCTGTCTGAATGGCCCTTGGCAATGGAGGCCTGGCCTTTCTGCCTGTATTACAGCACCTCAGAGTCCATCACTGGCTCCTCCCAGGGTGGACAGGGTACTTTCATCCTCCAAGGGTGCAGCAGGGACAAGCAGCTGCCACAACCATGGCTGCAACCTTGGGAGCTTTTGATCATATTTGTTCCCTCCATAGCCCTGCCCAGCCAACACGGCAAGCTTCAAACAGCAGCAGTGCTCCAGCTTCAATGCCAAAGCCTTTGGGAAGCGCTACTACCACTGGATGCCCCTCTATCCAGGTGGGTTTTCACAGCTTCACACAAGGGAGAAAAGGTGAGAAAACACCCACAGGATCTTCTCAGACACAGGGGATGGGGAAGGTCTGAGGGGACAAGGGATGGATGCTCCTGGCTGGTCTGGAAGTGCTTCCCTATGCTCCCTGCTTTGGAGAAATCATTCGCTGTCTCTTCACAGAACTGCTCCACCCAGCCAGGCCTCCTCTCTCACCACATTGCTCCCGTTTTGGATCCTACATCAGCAAGCACTGGTGGGCAGACAGGACACAGGCTTCTCTGAGTTGTCTTGGCTAACCAGCAGTCATCTTGGCAGAGTGGGTGTTCACGCTCTTTTTGCCTTCTACCACTTTGGCTGCCTCTGTCACCCAGCATGCTTCCCACTGGATTGGTGGTGGGTTGTTCTGAACAGGATGCCCATCCATTTCTTGCACAGGCAAGGCAAATTGCTTCATGTGGGTTGCCAGTTGTCCCTTGAGGCTCAGATTGAGCTCACCTAAAATATTACCCTCTTTCTGGACCCACATGTTTTTCTCCTCCTATTAACTGCCAAGGGGTCATAGAACATCTGCACCTCTCACTGCAGTTGCTGGGCTGAATGAGAGTGTAGCTGGCCACAGCCCCATGCAGTCAGTACCCCTTGCTTGCTCTTGTGTATTTACGTGTGGCCTTCCAATGCAGATTCCCACATCTGACTTAAGGGATGGAACTGCAGTGGGGAGAAGGTATGGCAGGGAAGAGGGTTTGCCAACAAAAATTATTTCTGCTAGGCATGGTCCCCAACTGCAGCCTCATACCATGACCCCTTTACTGCTGCAAAATTTGTAGCCTTGGGGTCTCCTGTCAAGCAGCAAGAAAATCCAAGGTGACATCAAACCATCAGTGTGGACAAGAGGAAAGTCCCCTTCCTCACTGCCCATCTGTGAGCACTTTGATCTGCCTGGTGACTTTTTGCCTCCATCCCTTCAGATGACTACACCAGTATCTCCAACAAGCCATGTGACCTCCAGTGCACCACCCGGAGTGGAGAGAGGCAGCTGATGGCCCGAGCACAGGATGGTACCTCCTGCAAGGACAGGACCTATCAAGGGGTCTGCATCAATGGGAAGTGTGAGGTGAGGCTTCAGGAGGAAGTAGAACAGAAATTGGAAGTGTAAGTGCACAGCTGGACCTCCTGGTCATTGCAAGGCCAGAGGTGCCAGCCGGGAATGGGAACTGAGGCCTGGTGTGGAGTAATTACAGTCACTCTTGAATGCCTGTGGGCTAGAGGAGAGCAGAGAGGTTCACACAGAGGGAATGCTATATATCCACATCTTCCCACTGATTGACCACTTTCCTCCTGTCACAGAGAAGACTGCAATTGCAGGTTTCTTTACATTGTCACCCAATTAAAAAAAACCCAAACCTTTAAAAAATCTTCCATTTGATTTTTCACCTCAATACAGCAAGCATGAAGGGTGGCTCTACATAGTGTTACAGAGAGGTGCCATACAACCTCAGGAAGGCCTACCTTCGATGCAGCATCTCCTGGAGAGGGGTGGTGTATGTCACTATTTCAGTCATTATGGTCCTAAATACAGAGATGGAAGGAACCAAAACAGCTTGCCCGAGTCTGACTCCGTTCACCTACACACAGAAGCCCCTGCTCCAGTTTCAGGGGCATGCAGTAGGTGGGCACAAGTCACACAGGTGAATTTCTGCTGCTCTTGGATTCATTCAGCACTCTGCTCTAGGCTAACCTACATTTCTGCCCAGAACCTCACCAAGAGAGTCTGGTGGCATTTCCTTGATAAATCCCTGACCTATGGAGATAAACTGGCCACAGAAAACCCTCTCGTTTCATTCTTTGCAGCCAGTTGGGTGCGATGGGAGCCTGTACTCGCCCCGGACGATGGACAGATGCAGGGTGTGTGGAGGGGACGGCAGCACTTGCCACCGTGTCTCGGGCAGCTTCCGAAAGGCAATCTCACAGATAGGTACTCCCTGCTACCACAGTCCAGAGACTTCACCTGCTACTTCTTACCACCAGATGGCATGAAGGGTGACTGGCTTGAATGCGGGTAGGAATTTCCCAGCTGCTGGTGGAAAGAGCTGAGGAGTGCCACCCGTGCTGAAATATCTGTATTTTGTCCTTTTCACTTAATCATCAGAGGAGATTGGTTTGATGTGCTGTATAATGGGCTGGTAAGGTTTCCCTTCACCTCTTTACAATAGGAAGCAGCTGGGGATCTATTTGTTCCTATTGATTTTGGCATCTTGCCCACCTCGGATAATGTGAAGAGATCGATGAATCTTCTCTTATTTGTGCTATGTGTTCATTTGAAACTTGAGCTCCTACAACGAGGGTCACAGCGTTTGTTTCAGCCTTCACTTAGTCTCCTGCTTTCCTCAGTCCTGTGGCTGGCACAGCTGAGGGACAGCCCCTTTGGGCCAAGATTCCTCCCTTGCAACCTCATGGCCCATTCCTCTACCCATAGAAAGAACAGACTGTGGTGTGCTCATTCACAGTAAATTAACTGTGGTTTAAGGATGTTTTGGAACATGATTTCGCACTGTTGTTGTTTCACTAGCCTACCTCCCTCTCTTCAGACACCAGACTAGAAAAGCACCCACGCCCCTTTCCAGAGTGGGGGTAATAGTGGTAACCCCTCTAGAAGTACAGACACAGTTTCGGCCTCCTATTCCAGTCCTCATAAAATGTTACAGAACAGACAAAACCTGCATTTCTAGCAGGAAAGACAAGCTGCCAAACCACACAACCTTAAGAGCCTTCTTATTTCCTCTCCCTTTAAAGGGCAGTTTTTGTGCTACTCCTGAGACAAATTCTGTTGAGTCAGGAACTGAGGGAACCTATGGTCTTTTCCATCTTCTGTTCAGCATCAGCCCTGGTCCCTAGTAAGCTTTTTTGGTGCTCTTGCCAGAAAGATCACAAGAGCACATTCATCCACATACCTAAAACCAGACTCTGCAGTTCCTGACTCCAAACCTAGCAGTGCCCATGCTGAGCCCTAGAGACCTGTAGTGGTGGCCCATGATGGGATTCTGAGGGGAGCTGGGATTACAGCTCACAGGCTGGTGCAGCATGCACTTATGAGGTCCTTAGCATCCTGCCCTGAAGGGCAGCACTGCCTTCCTACATACACCCTTGTCACACAAACTGCTTTTGCTACCCGGATGTCTTTATTCTGTCCTCAGGGTTTTCTCGGTCTCTGTTCTGTTCCTCAGGTTATGTGTTCATCACCAACATCCCTGCTGGTGCCACGGACATCCTCATCATTGAGCGCAGGAAAACAGAAAACATCCTAGGTAAGCAGAGATGCTGCTTACATGTGGAGATCCACAGAGGAAAGGTCTAGACTGTAAGTCTTAAGACGACTGGCTGAGGGAACTGGGATTGTTTAGTATAGAGAAAAAGAGGCTCATGGGCGACCTCACTCTCTAAAACTCCCTGAAAGGAGGTTGTAGTGAGGTGGGGGTTGGTCTCTTCTCCCAAGGAACAAGCAATAGGACAAAGTGGCCTCGAGTTGCACCAGGCAAGGTTTAGGTTTGATGTTAGGAAAAATTTCTTACCGAAAAGGGTTGTCAAGCCCTGGAGTAGGCTGCCCAGGGCAGTGGTGGAGTGACCGTCTCAAAAGACATGTAGACACAGTGCTGAGGGACATGGGTTAGCAGTGACCTAGAAGTGCTGGGTTAATGGTTGGACTTGATGATCTTGAAGGTTTCTTCAAACCAAAACGATTCTGTGGTCCCAATTCAGCTGCCTGTGAGGTGGGAGGAGGACTCTGTGCACTCCCATCTCTGCCGTGAGAGAGCTGTCTGGGAGCATCTCCTCCAGGGTAGCCCAGGGGCACATCATCTCTCCATTAACCAAGGCTACCATGTCTCCAGCAGCAGGAGGGACATTTGGAAACCAAGCTCACATTGGGCAGTCCCTGCTGTGAAGACATTTGTACTCTTGTTGGAGAGGGAAATGAAAGCAGGCACTGAATACAGCTGATCTGATGCAGAAGATGAACACTAGAGTGCCTGTACTTCTTTTTCTGTCGGTCTTTTCTCAGTCACGAGCTGGTTGCTCTCCTCAGTGCCAGTGCAGCCCCGGTGTTCTGCAGAGTATCACATTTGTCCCTTTTCTCTCTCTTTGAAGCACTTGCAGATGAATCCGGGCATTTCTTCTTCAACGGCAACTCTGCCATTGACAATCCCCAGAACTTCAGGGTAGCTGGCACCATCTTCAAGTATCGGCGGCCCTCGAGCCTGAACTCAGACGGGCTGGAGTATATCATGGCTCACGGGCCCACTAACCAGTCTCTGAACGCCATGGTATGTGAGGAGCTAGCTGTAGGCTTCCCTGTCTTGCCTGTCCCAAAATTGTGAGCCTCTCTCAGACAAAAGGAATATTAACCTGGTTCCCAAGCCAAGGCTGAGTAAGCATCTGAGGAAGCCAGGTGTTGTCTTGGAGGTGGGATTCTTCTTGGATTTATGAGGCTGCTGTCTTCTCTTAACACTCATCACAAAATGGATGTGGCTAGAAGTCTCTAGGAAGTACCTGTCCTTGAAATAAAAATGGTTCTGTTTTCTTTCTCCGTTTCCTACAGTACTATAATTTTAATGGGAAAATGCCACACATAACTTATGACTACACTGTACCACGGACACCACCTCTCCAGACTGCAGCCCCTGTTGTAGACCAACCTCTCTATCATCACCTACTGGAGACCAGCCAGGACCATCCCATTCCAGCCAACTCCAGAGCTGCCCAGGACTTCAATGCCACATGGCTCTCCCTGTCACCAGATGACGCCAGTGAACAGCTTCCTCTAAGAGAAGAGAATGAAGATTTAGGCTTCGGCCACCCACGCTTCTTCCGGACCAACTCCACCAGTCAGACTCGGGAGTGGGGCTGGGAACAAGGTGAAGAGAAGAAGTATGACTTCCAGATAAGACATGTCTACCATGCAGACACAGGAGAGGAAGAGGAGGAGGAAGCAGCAGCAATTGGTGGAGAAACAGAGTTGGGTTGGTTATGTTGTTTTTGCTTTTCTTCTGTCTTGTTTATTGAAAGTGGACATCTCACAGTGTTCTTCTTGAAGTCTAAGGTGGCTTTACCATCAGAACAGACAGGAAAGAAAGATGATTAACAGCAGGGTGGAGACTGTCAGGGAGCAGCAAAGACCAGTAGCTCTGCAAGGGCAGCATAGCTGGGAGAGGGTGGCCACCATATAGGTTACACAGTGCGCTTTTGGGCAGGGCAGTCCCATGGCATCTGAGCTTGGCAAGCAGGGTGTTGACAGCAACAGGTCCTGGCAACAGTCCAGTGATCATCAGGTGAGAGCAAGGTGGTAAGTTAAATCTGAGGTCAAGCTAGGAAAGCCAAACAACAATTTGGGGACAAAGTACACCTGCAGCATTGGTCAGGCCAGGACTGAATGCCTCATCCTGAGCTTAAATGAAGCTCCTGAGCAACGGGCAGAGGGTAAGTGAGGTTGGTCAGAGCAGCTAAGGCCTGTTAGTGCACCCTGGTGGCAATGTATGATTTTGAGGCCAAATACTGACTGTTTTTTGCCTTGTTAAATACCACAAGAAGTACAAGCCGTCCAACATAGCTAAAGCATCCCTCTATTATCCTTGCAGCTCTCAGGTTCAATCAAATTCCCATCAGCACAGCTGTACCCTACAGCATGAGGAGACCTGAGCTCCTGGAGAACGGCCGCGTAGCGTCCTCCAGGCTGCGTCTCTTCCGGCGGTTGTGTCACCGAGACCCACACAATGCTGCCTTCTGCAGGGAGCTGCAGCACCTGGCAGCCAGGCTGGCCCCGAGGAACTCCACAGCAGGACTATGGACTGAGGCAGCTGCCCGCTGGCCACAGGGCCTTCACAAAGCGCTGGCTCCTAACTCACTGGAGGACTTGAAGATGGAGCCATTTGCTGGGGGTCGAGGGGAAGCCGCCAACTACAGCACGATGGGATCTGTGGAGAGCCCTCTGATAGGTGCCAGCCCAACTGTGGACATCAGCCGGCCAAAGCCTCTGCAAGCCCCTGGCACTGAAAGGTGGCACTTGATTTCCTGGGCAAAACAGAAGCATGACTGGCTGGGGAGGGAGGGTCAAGTCAGTCTTCTGGTGGTCTCGCTGATCTCCTTGATGTCCCCATTCACCATGTCTATCCATGGCAGCTACTATAGATGCTTGACCAATGGTGTGTCCTTCAGTGACTGATTGTCACAACTGGCTTGAGAGAGAGCTCCCAGAACATATTTCAGGTCCCCCTCCTGCTAAGGGAGCCATTTAGATGGGTGCTGAAGGACCTGCAAGGCCAACACTGATGTGATTGTAAAGAAGGCTAGGAGTCTATAGCATGTCACATACCCACGTTTGCCACATCATGCCCTCTGTCCCATTCCTCTGGGCACATAAGCTCTTGTTACTTCAGTAAACATTTGGCAGGAGACCAGAGGCCAAGTTTTAAACATTTCTGGCAAGCCACAAGTAAACTCTCCCCACCGCATGATACTAAGAGGGACCTTGCTTGAGCTCCTCTTTTCAACCTAACGCCATACCTGTCAAGATGAGAGTGTGTACTGAGGCCAAGAGCACCTGCATGGTTGACAGACCATAATATGCACAAGACTTATTATGAACGATGTCTCCTTGCTGAGGGATTTTATCCACAGCTATCCACAGCCTTGGTAGATGATTCTAGGAGGCGAATCGAGGCTTTACAATATTTGTTTCTCAATGGTCCGTCTTGCCCAAGGTGGGGGGGACAGAGAGCAGAAAGACTGGGTGTCTTCCCATCTTCAAAAACAGGGAGGAAGAATTTCACTATATTTTATGTTTACAGGAATTTTTCATTCTTCGCTCATGCCACCTCCTTTTTCCACAGCAATGAGTTTGATGTGAGCCCCGTGGGCCGTGACGACATCAGCTTGGCTGACATGTATCGGTGGAAAGTCTCAGCTTATGCTCCCTGCAGCTCCACGTGCACTTCAGGTAGGTTTGGCTTCTGGTGACTGACCACGTGAGGTCCTTTTTGTCTGTTGATGGAGAGAATACTGGTATCTTTCAAAATGGCAGATAGATAGTTTCAGATGCAGTGAGCACTCCAGTAATTTAATCGTGGTGGGAGGAGGCTTTTGGATCTGACGGAGCCTGACTAAGAGAGGATCTCGATTGCCTGGCAGGTATCAGCACTTCGTACGCGATGTGTGTGCGGTACGATGGAGTGGAAGTGGATGAAACGTACTGTGATGCCCTAACCCGACCAGAACCTACTCATGAATTTTGCACAGGGAGAGATTGCCAGCCTAGGTGAGTGGAGATGACATCAGCTGTCCACAGGGAGAACATATCTTTGTAAGGATCATTTTTTGCTCAAAGCCTACAGCCGTTTCTGGGCTGGAAGATACACTTAAACAGCTACACCTTTGTATCCCCTTGCAAAAAGCAAGAAGAGGTAAGGAAATTTGCTGTCTCAATCACCTGCTAAGGGTAAAGTTGGCTTTCAAGACCAGCATCCCCTTAGCACAGACATATACATGATGAGCAGATTCATAACAGCAGCTGCTGGGTGAGGGAGTCCCAGGCATGCAGCTACGTCCCAGCCACCCCGTGCCCCTTGTCCCCCTTACCTGGGTTTTCCTTTGTGCTTTCTCTCCTGGGGGACTGCTCGTGGAGGTGGGAGACCAGCCGGTGGAGTGAGTGCTCCAGGACCTGCGGCGAGGGCTATCAGTACCGCACCGTGCGCTGCTGGAAGATGCTGGCTCCAGGCTTTGACAGCTCCGTTTACGACGACCTCTGTGAGTCAGCTGGGCTGGCCAGGCCCATGGAGAGGAAAGCCTGCAAGAACAAGGCCTGTGGGCCCCAGTGGGAGCTCTCCGAGTGGTCTGAGGTAGGTGGCAGGGGAGCTTTGCTCCCAGAGGTAAGCAGCCAGGGCTGGGGCCTGGGGGAAGCTGGCTGGCACAGATGCTGAGGAAGCGCTTGGCCAGTGGCATCCTGGAGAAACAAGAACTTCATTTACCCACTGCTCCCCTCTTCTGGCACTGCTTGGTGGACAAAGGCCGTTGCAAAACATTTTTTCCAAGGTGACTTCTCAAGCAGGACATTGACTGAGTAAAAGCCCTGCCAGCAAGAGGCTTTGCCTCCCTCTTCCAGCTGATCTAGAGGATTCTATTATTTTATCTAGCTAAGGGTGAATGGGGAAACAGTAGCATGGAGATACAGAGGGGCCAAAACCCAGCTGAAATCCTTCTGACTGACTTTTCACAGCCTGCTTAGGAGTGGCCCAGTCAGTGGCTTTGAACAGCAGTCCAGGCATCAGCGCCTTGGAGCACTGGAGCTCTAACACCTAAAACACATAAGCAGCCGAAATAAAAGATGGACCCAAATTTTCTTGTCCTTGCTGGGGCCCTTCCTCTCTCCCCTAGCGCAGCAGGAGGGGCACCGGAGGGAGCGCAGCTGCCTCCCCTGCCTTTGCTGGTCCCCCGGGACTGACTCTCTGTGGCCGTTGCAGTGCTCGGCCCGCTGCGGCGCGGAGGGGACGATGAAGCGGGAGGTGCGCTGCTCGGTGGAAGCTGCCCTCTGCCGGG